GGCTTGATCCCTGTTGCAGTATGGTGCATGCCTCAATCTTTGTTAGTTCTGTCCAACTTTCCAGCTTTTCTAGTTTCCTCTAAGTTTTTTCTCCTATGAGGCAAAACCTCACTACACTAGACTCTGGCTCAATAAAAGAGTACTGTGCTTGTGTCTTTGGGGTTGATTCAATGAGAATGGATAAAGAGGCTAGTGGTGACATGAAGGGGGTAGGGTTGTAGGGGTCACTATAATTATGGTAGAGAGCTCTATCTGATTTAGGACTGACTGCACCATTTTATGCTTTTTAGTGTAGAATGGGAAAACAAGCTTTTATCTCCAATTTCTCTTAGTTTTTAGCCTGGGTCTCAGATGGAGCTTAAAATTTTGGAACTGCGCAAAAGCTGGATATTTAGAAAGTTTAAATGCCAAGAAGGCTCTTTGACATAAAATTTCATATGGAGTTTGTTACTCCAATACGTTGGTTTTTTATTAACTATTTAATCTTAAATCAATTTATTAGAATAGGTTACACATCAGAGGAAAAAAAGTGACATTCATCTGTAATAGAGCTAGTTGTACAACTACACATATAGCCAACGTAGCTATGCTAGTTGCTCGCACTTGATACATTACAACCTACATTTAAGCTGTTCATAACTTCAACTTCTCAGTTCATAATATTATGGGTATTCATTTAAGATATATAATTGTAGAACATTAGTTATTTTTTTACCAAATCTACGTTGCACTACCTGGGTTGCTTTCCTTATCTTTCCAGTCATATGTGGCAGTGGTATCTCTTCTGTTACTGATTTTGTCTTTCTGTCTTAGTTGTTGGTCATCAAGACAATCCTTCTCATTTAAGCAGAATTCCAAGATTTGTAGTCATCTCATACACAATGCTAAAGCGCTTGAAAAGGAGCATTCTAGAGCATGAATGGGCTATCAAAATCATTGATGAATCACATCATCTTCGTTGTTCAAAGAAAAAATCTGAACCAGAAGAGGTTAGACCACATTTCATTTACTAATCGGCTAGTAAGGAATTCATAAAGAAAGCATAATAATTTATTTACTCTCTTCTGAAATCTTTTGAATGGCTGTCATCTATAACAGAATTCAAGTCATTGAACTAAAATATTTTTTGAAGTTGTGTAGGTTGAGAAGATTTGTACTTTAGGTGTTATGATCTATATAGCTTATGACATAGTTGTTGTATTACATATGTATGTCATATTCCCTTTATGACTAGGTTGTGTATTTAATTCTATGCTTGTATTCATTTTTGTGTGAGTGTGAAGTATATAGAAATGAGATTACATCTATTACTCATAATCTATTTCTTCTTATCTATCTCTCCTGAAATTATTCAACACTGAGAGTATACAACATGGTATTAGAGCCTATTCGGTCGAAAATTCTTTAGGCATGTAGATATATTTTGCAGTGGAAAAGTGATTGCCGGTGTGTACATTTGGGGTATTCTACTTCCCAACTCTCATCCGTTGGTCTATTTCAGATTCTGGATCAACCATGTAGCTCTAGTGCTCTATCTCTCGTCGCAACCTACCACCAAGAATCCCACTACGGACGCTTCCGAAACACGTCACATACAACCCACGTTCGCCAACCATTTCCCGGCTGATATTTTTCTCACTGATGATCTTATTTCGACACTGCCACCGCCATCCAACATATATCACTCTTGCAATCCTAAGGTGTTTACTCAAACGACGTGAGATGGGGATACACAAAGTATTGTTGTGTTTTAAAAGAGTAGCAGCAGAACGCTTTTTGAAGTCTAGAATGCCCCACAATCACACATTTAAGAGATTTAGCTTCTAATTTGTCATGATTTAGAGTATTATCTCAGACAAAGGGAGTACACCCCAAAGACTTCTAAAGGAAGTTTGTGCAAGAGTTGGTTAGAAAATGAGAGCATAGTTATCATGGTGCCAAGGCGAGGCACCAGTGCACTGCCATGACGCCTAGACAACTACGGGACCACCTAGGCAACAATTAGGTGACCTAGGCGGCAACACATAAGAAATCAGGTTTGGTATGCATTAGTAGCACTAAGTAACACAAATTTTAAACATACGTGTTCTATAAACCTTATCAAAATTTCAAATATACATACTTAAAAAAATATAAACACACCATAATATGAGAGAAAAGAAGAATATGAAATATGAAATATGATTAAAACACAATATACAACTTCTTAGTCAAAGTCAATACTAAGTATGAAAAAAGTCACTAACTAAAAGGCATAAGAGATTTTCAAAAGGCATTGCCTAGGTGCCTAGGCGAGGTATGCGAAATAAGGCGATGCAATACACAATGGCGAGAGTAGCTGACCGGAGGACGCCTAGGCGACGCCTTGATAACTATGAATGAGAGACTATATGTTATTTGGCTATGTAAGACATATGAAGGCAGAAGGCATGGGATTGATTAGGTAATCTGCATAGAGGATATCATCTCCACAAAACATGGAGAAATTTAGTGTAGACTCTAGAAACTTACGACTAGTTAATTTAACTATATGTTGATTCTTTCTTTCAACATTTCCATTTTGTTGTAGAGTAATAGAGCAAGACAATTCGTGGAGGATTCCTTCGACATCTAGAATGGTCGTTGATGGAAGATAGTGACAAGCAATATAATTCTTGATTCATATCTCAAACCAATTGTCTTTCCTGTACTCCAATCCTGCACCACAACAGAACTAGAAGAAAAGATAACTCAGAATTGAATTATGAAAATGTTGCATCCTCAGAATTGAAAAGGGATTTTAATTGGCTTGAGTTGATAAAATGACCAGAACGCTTGTTTATTCGAATAGGAATTGCAACCTATGTGGGTAACTTACAAGCTATTATGTTGATGCATTATTTGAATTTCGATTTTCATTGTTCTTGTGCCATGCTTTTAACTAATTTTTCAGTTTAGAAACCCTGTATCCATACATATGCTTTTCCTAGTGTTACACTTATGTTTTCTTAAATTGGCAGATAAAAGCAGTTCTTGATGTTGCAGTGAATATCAAGCGTTTAATTCTATTGTCAGGGACTCCCTCTTTATCAAGGTTGTCAGAAATTTTTGTAGTTCTATTTTAGCTCTGGTTGCATGGAGCTTAAGCCAACTCATTTGTGTCTTATTTTCAATATTTATCTATTTGATTTCCTGCACTCCTTTCCCTGTTGAACATAGCGTCAATCTTCTACTTTTATGTTTCTTCCAATTCTTATGCTCATGTTTAATATTTTCCTAGGTGCTAATAGGCCATATGACATATTTCATCAGATAAATATGCTATGGTAACTTCTCTTTTTGTCCTAATATTTTTGTTTCTTGTTAATAATTCAAATGTTCTTGCCTCATTCTTTTGCCATCACATTCTTCTTCTAGGCCAGGTTTACTTGGAAAGACTAAATATGACTTTGCAAAGACTTACTAGTCTATCAGACTTGTGCAAGGATGCCGAGGGAAAGCTTTCTATGTAAGTTGGGGTACCTCAGTCATGAGTTACCACTAAATTAAAAATGCTAAAATTTTCATTGCATTTCTTTTCAATTGACATGAATTGGTTCTCTATGACTAACATGGCATTGTTAGAGAAATTTTGATTTGAAATCTGATGGTCTTTTTATTTGCTTATTTATTAATTTCCTAGCTCTATGTAGGGGTGCAAACGAGTCAAGCCGAGCTTGAATAATTGCACTAGATCAAATGAGCTTCTAAAATATGGGTTCGAATTCATATTGTTATTTTTTACAGGGATTGACACGGTTCGATTTGCTCAAATTGAGCTCTTATATGTGTGTCGGTGTGTGTTTGTGTACATCCATTTATAGGCATATTACTACCCTACAATAAAGTAAGGTCAAAATTGGAAAGTAACACCAAAATTACACATTCTTTAAATCCCACCTTTTCCGTGAGTGGAAAAGTTTTATGAGACGGAGCGAGTCTTTAATTTAGCTTGAGCTTGCCTCGAGTTTGGATTTGAACACTCGAGTCAATCTTTAGCAAAACTGTTTGAGCGGCTTTTCACCTTTAGTTACATGTTGATAAAATGATATGGTATTTTCTTTCATGCAGGATTTCTCAAAGGGGACACGTTTGGAAGAATTACATATGCTACTTAAGCAGACTGTTATGGTGGGCTCTTGCTCTATGATTTTCTAAATTCGTCTTGATGACAATTTTTCTTTCCATACACTTGTCATTCATCAAATGCATTTTTCTATTTTCTTCATTTCATAACTGAACTTTTTTCATTTTGGTCTTATGTCTCAATTGGAATTATCAAAACTTACTTTGTCTGATGATACCATTAAATGCAAAATCATATACTCCAATCTCAGAGTTTGTAACATGTAAGTTTTTTTTTTTGCGCAAATATAAAGAAACAATTTACATGCAATCAGTTTTCCAAATTTACCATCTAAAAGGTGGATAACCTTTATAAAAAGCTGCAAGGGGTCAGAATGTCAATCCATAAAAAGGTTTATTTGGAAAAGGTTAAGAGTTAATGGAGTTCACGAAAGAAAAGTGAAAATAATCTCATGAAAATCCAAAATGGAGAGGACTTATATATGTGAGAGTTGGAGAGTGTTATTTTGGAAAATAATTGCGTAATTCATTGAAGACATGATTTTTTTAAAAAAAACTTCCAACAATTATAAATGATCAAAGAGATATCCACGATCATTCGCTATAACCAATCCAACCAAGCCATTTTTATTTTAATGCTACTGTACTAGACAATTCCTTTTCCACTTTCTCTCTCAAGAGCTTTCCAGCTTTCCTCCCCTCTTCATTTAATAAGTGAAAATTTTATTGATAAGGAAAATTAGAAAACCAGGGACACTGCAATAACAATAACCGAATTCCATCTCTCATAGAATGCATGTTGTCATTTGCTTTTAGTTACTGTGTTGATACACTGCTCTCTCTTTCTTTCGTTGTGCTTGTCTTTCATTTGTATGTTGCAGATACGACGCTTGAAGGAACATGTACTTGTTCAGCTGCCTCCCAAGCGTCGCCAAATCATAAGACTGGTTTTAAAGAAATCAGATATTGCTTATGCAGTTGCTTTAACTGAAGTGTCAGGAGGCAATGCTCCAACACCTGATGGCAATACGACAGATGCTGAACATGCTGTTGTGAACGCTCTTGATGAAGATGAAGGTAATGAATTCCAACTTCCTAATCCTTTGTGTTAATCTATGGGTTGCTGGTATGTATCTAATGCAAGGTTGACACGCCTATGGAAAACTAAGGGGGGTGTATTCAATTAGGATTTTGTTGGATTATTTTAGATTTCAAAAAGTTAGTAGATTTGTAAAATTTATAGAATCCATGTAGAGTTTGGTTGATTTTTTGTAGAGTCCATGTAGAGTTTGAAAAATTTGCAAAATTTTTGTAGAGTTTGAAAAATATGTTGAATCTAGAGGAATGTTGCTCCACGCCAAGAGGAGAAGCAGTTTCCAAGAGGAGAAGCAATTTCCTGGCATCTAAACACCAGAATCCGACACCATCGTTCTACGCTTCACCGCCTATGGAAATTGATGGTGAAGGCAAGCTCGGAATCAGAAGGAGGAGGCGTGAAGCTGACGGACAGATGAAGAGTACTCAAAAAACATATCTATCAATTAATCGCTCAAAGAGATGAGATTGAACAAATCAATAGGTAGGTTTGTGTGGAAGGTGGAGG